GATTTCTGAAGACGCCGTTTCCTTCATAAATGACGCGTCACTTCGTTGCACGTCACTTGCAGCAAGATTTTGGTCCTGCTGGTTCAGAAGTTGTTCATCTCGCACGCTGCGTTGCTGTTTTTATTTCCAGATAGTGTGGGCGGTGGCGAGGATGGCTCTTACTAATTGAGTGAAACTTTTCCTTTGCAATAGGTTCGCTCTGCTGAGAAGTATCACAAGCAGAGGAGCCGGCCTCAAACTGACATCTCATTTCCTCGCCCTGTCACTTCTCTTTTTCAAGTTCAATCTTCTTCCGTCTCTATCTTCACGATGGAGCCACAAAGATATTTCAAATCTATGGTGATAGTAGGTTTATTTGCAAATTTAAGCAAGTTACAAAAATTTATTAAATAATTTGACCTTTTCTGAATTAACACCATTAATTACTAGCCTACGTTTTTTTTTTTTTTTTCAAAAAAACTTTCTTTCAATAAATTGTTAATAGCTTTTTTGTTTGAAATTGAAGATTTCTGGATATTTTGCCCTTACTTTACACAAAGCGAAAGCATTAAAAAAAAATGAACACACCATTTAAAAAAATTAAGTGTTCTCATTTTAATTTTCTTTCGAGAACCTCTATTAAAAATTACAATGACTAATAAAAAAAGGAAAATGTGATCTCCGCTCTCTGTGTCAATTTTTATGGCTCAATTTTTACTGAGATTTTAATTTTGGTATTTTGATAATCCCATCAAATCTTGAGGAAATTTACAAAGATTGTTTTTTTTTTGCGTGCATCTACAAGGTGAAGCAAAAGATTTAATTGGAAAAAAAGAAGGCAGATGTTTATAATGTATTTTGTTGCACCTTTTATTTGTAATTACATCAAGCATCAGGGTATTTTTTTTTTCAAATTTATAAAAACTCCAAATTTTAGTTGAAATTATTCGTGTTTGTTTAGTTGAAAACTCGACTATTCATCATCCATGTTGTTGCGCGTTTTCTGCTGCTTTATGAAGTGCAGGTAGGATGTAGCTGTTTAGTAGCTGAGCATTCTGCATCAAAGTGCCTAGGATTCATATCCGTAAATACGCAGTACTGTTTGGCCTCTACGAATTCAGCAATGAGTTAAATAAGAAGTCTTTAAAGAAAGTAACAATTATTTACGCCGAGTCATCTTCGGGCAGTTCCATAAATTACCAACCGCTTGTGGTAACGCGCGTTGATTGCCAAAAAAGCAAGCTGGGCCCCAGCATACGATCAAATCATAGCAACTATAGCAAATCTTGGCAAGGCGTAGAGGTATTGTCGGACGAAGATGGGACTTGGCTAGGAAATTTTCAATCTCGTCGGTCATATTTCCCACGTGGGAAGGGTCGCACCTTTGGACCTTTAATTACGCACCAAACAACCAATTTAAAAGTGAGAAATATTTTTTTAAATTAATTTTGTAATTGCTTGCCTTGTTTCTGTTGACGCACGACCCGGTCTCCTCACTGAAAGCTTGACCTTTGGGACAATTGATCACGTCAACAACTGCATATTTCGGCTCCTCATTTTCGTCCTTGATCATATTTTCACACTTGATCATTGCACGGCAATTAAAAGGGTGGGCTTGGATTCCGTCTTGGGGACACAAGTACCTTTTGAACAAAATAGTACTCAGACCAAACAATAAAAAACAATTTACCCCTCGAGCTCCTTGACGACATATCTTTTTGCCAAAGACTGGCCGACCTTTAAGGAAATATTTTGTGAAAAATGAATTTCTAGAATGAACCTCTGAACATACAATCAAAATGAGTGACAAAAGGAAGACCAACTTGGAAGTCATTTTGAATAACAATGATGAGAGGCGTGTCATTGCAGACCTTTTATACCTCGGCAGGGAATCGTGCGGCCACTTAGGCAGTGAAACGTGTCTTTTTTCACAATATTTTGATTGTTTTTTTCTTCCCTCACCTCGCTTCCCGTTCCACATTTCTTTTAAATTAAAGGTGCATGCAAAATGCTGTTTTAATATAATTTGGGTTTATAATTATTTTTCTGGCACAACAATTGAATGTAGCCAGAAACATTAAACTTTAGAAAAATAGGCAGATGTTTATTGAATTAATGCTTTTATTTCCAATTCGTCAAGCAAGTGGGTGATTTTTTTCTTTCAAAATGTTACAAAATCCAGGAAATATTATTCACGTGTTACTTGAATTGTCACTCGGCTATAGTCCTCAATTAGCTTGAGATTTTATTCTACTGGTTTACAGAAAATAACTCATCAAAGCCTAGCGAAGTTGGAATTCAGCAAACGTGTGAAATCTAGCATTCCCCCTGTGGAGTAGCCGAGCATTCTGCATTCACCGATGAGCCAGTGATATCCGTCATTCTGCAGTACTGTTTGGCCACTGAAAATTTATCTTTTAAGAAGCATCAAATGCACAATTTAAATTATTTCCGTACGTCGAGTTGAAGTCGCGCAGTTCAAAATTTGATAAGTCCCTGTTGTCATTGCTCTTTGATTGTTAAAAAAGCAACCATCTCCCCAGCACAAGAGAATATGATTACAAGATATGCAAAACTTATTAACACGTTGAGGTAATGATGGACGAAGATGGGACCTTGCTAGGAAATTTGCAACTTCGACGGTCATATTTCCCACGTGGGAAGGGTCGCACCTCAGGACCTTAAATTACGCATCAAACAAGAAATAAAGAATTTTAAAAAATAATGAAAAATTTTTTTCTTTTAAATGCTTGCCATGTGTCTGTTGACGCACGACCCGGTCTCCTCACTGAAAGCTTGTCCTTTGGGACAATTTATCACGTCAACAACTGCATATTTGGGTTCCTCGTCTTCGTCCTTCATCATTTTCCCACACTTGATCATTGCACGGCAGTCGAAAGGGTGGGCCTGGATACCATCGTTGGGACACAAGTACCTTTCAAACGAATTCGTACGTTTGCCAAATAACAAAATAAGTAGAAAACAATTTACCCCTCGAGCTCCTTGACGGCATCTTCTTTGTTTGCCAAAGACTGGCCGACCTTTAAGGAAATATTTTGTGAAAAATGAATTTCTAGAATGAAACTCTAAACATACGGTCAAAATGAGTGACAAAAGGAAGACCAACTTGGAAGTCATTTTGAATGACAATGATGAGAGGCGTGTCATTGCAGACCTTTTATACCTCAGCAGGAAATAGTGCGGCCACTAGGGCAGTGAAACGTGTCTATTTCTTTCAAAGTTTACCTCATTACGCTTCCCTTTCCATGTTTCGTTTGAACAATGGGCACACAAAAAAAAATAAATGATGCAAGTGTTATTGTTTTTTTTTTTTTTTTTACCTTTTTCGCTGGTATATATTTCTCTGGTGATTTATAATAATTCACTTTTTTCACTGTAGCATAGCCAAAATCTTTCTTATCCAAATAATTATCTTCATTTTATAATCTTTTCCAAAAATGACTGGAAAATACTTTAAAATGGAGAAGGCCCATTTGTTAAATTGCAAGTTTTTAATTGCTCTTCAACATCCACGAAATATATTGAGGGCGATTAAAACCTAACCTGGACCAGGCTAACCCACCGTGTAATATTAATATCATGCGTGGACCAAGTTAGGCTTTTGGAAATCGCCCTCACCATTTTGTGAATATCAATTTTTTTTATGATTCTACGGAAAAATACATATCTTGAAGTGTACCAATACCATTAACATTATGTATTCTTCTCTTCTCGGTCAATAAAAACATTAAAAATATCAGATTTCTGCTGCACCAAAAGAGACTCACAATCAGCCGCCACGGTAGATCCAAAGAGAATACCACTTTTTTTGTTATTTAGTCAAATTTTATATTAAAATTATTGAGAATTAAATGGGATTTGCCAAATCTTTTCAGGTATCACTGCACTTAAACATTTGTTTCTACGGTCTCATTTAGAATAAGAATTTTAACATAATGTTTTAACAAGTTTTACATATTGTGCAAATGACACTAATTAGTGTCTACGTCGGTTACAAAAAATAGTGATAATTGAACAAGGAAACAAATGTAAATGCCTCTGGTTGATTTTGAGTGCACAATCGTAATTAATAATAATTCTTCAAAACAAAAGGGTCACTTTATCAAGTTAAGTGCTCCCTTCCTGTGGTTTAAAAAACTGTGATGGCCGTTTTCATGAAATTGGGTTTTTAAAGTTGCCTTCGCTGTCTGACAATGAAATAAATTAACTAAAAGTGTGCAGCGGGTCAATTGCTTTCTTACATCGTCTAGTGGCGATCTACGGAAATGGAATTTTAAGTAAAATAATTGATTATTTAATAAAATTATATATTTCAATTCTCAGCAAATTAGTTTCATGCTATGGAAAGTATGTACATGTTTTTAACAGTCTCCGAAAATTTATGTGGCCGTTGATGATTTTTAATTTTCGGTTTTTAAATTTCCAACTATATAAAATGCTTTTAAAGAATTTTAAACAAAAAAGGGGGACATTTTATCAAGTGCTCCTTCCTGTCATTTAGGAAAAAAGAGATAGAAAAATGTGTTCAGGTCGTCTCCAAGAAATTGTGCCTTTGACGTGGCCTCCTCTGTCTGATAATTTTATCTAAATGAGGAGGGCAAAAGTTAATTACTTTCTTGCCGCTTAGTGTTGGGCGGAAATGGAGTTTAATTAAAAGAAATACATTTGAATAATATGCATTTTCACATAATTTTCATTATTATTAATGCATTCTCAGTACTAAATATGCTATAATCAAACATTTGTTTGTAACCTATAATTTATTGAAGGATGTTAAAAATTTAACAAATAGAACAACCGGTTTTATGATTCAAAAGCTACAACAGTTTAATAAATTTATATAAAAAAGTAATATCAATAACAGAATCTGGTTTCTGCAGGACAGAGTTGAAAATTACATAAAAATTAGTAATTATGTTGCAACAAAATTTGAATTAATTTTTTCCAGTTTTTAAAATTTTTAAATTTTTTTAATTTAAATTAAAAATGTCCTAATTTGTTTTAAAAGATTTGCTAATTTTACATTCTTCAGCATCTCATATTTCACAAGCACAAATAAACATTACATAAAAATAAAAATTGTTTTAATTATAATTAATGAATTAAACTGTCAAAGATGACATAAATGATGCGTCTCTTTTTGTGGCATAATTAAATTTTCAACAGCAAACACATTGTTTGGATCGAGTGTTTTCTTGATGGCGACGTACAAATTGACCGCGGTGGGCGAGATTTGCTTGGGCACCCATTCGCGCCTCTTCTGACCCACGCCGTGGTGGTGCGACACGTTTCCGCCGCTGGAAATCACTTCGTCGCGGGCCCGAGACTCGATTTCTTCGTACACGTGGAGGGCGTTTGGAACGCCGGCCGCGTTGAAAGCCAAGTAAAAGTAAACACACGCGCCTGTGTCGTACACTTGGGTGACTCGGCAGCAAATGGACATGTGACCGATTCCTCGCACTGCATCAAAAATAAAATAATTACATTCCAAACATTCATTTAAAAATATATTGTATTACAAGAGAAAGAAAAAAAACTGGTAGAGATTGAAATTTATTAATTGAATAAATAAGGTGAAAAAGTCTCAAAACGGAGGGTAATTTCAAAATTATTATCTCAATTATTATTTATTTTTTCTTAAAAAGTTATCTGCTTATTCTATTTTCTTATTTATTTTGTCGTCCTCATTTTAAAATTAAATATACAGCAAAAAACTTTCCTATTCTAGAATTTGAAAGCAACAAAATTAGTGAAAATGGAAAATTATTATAACCTTTAAATCTATGGCTTTTAAAAATGTTTTTAGTTTGCAAATGCAAAAAAAAAACTATTAAAATTGAATAAATGTTCTTTATTGTTTTTTTAAATGGCATTTTCAAAGATATCAGAATATATTGGAGATTATATAGATATGGAGATTGTTTAATAAAATGAATAAAAAATTTTATCGAGCATATAATTTTGTATCTGAATTATTTAAAATTATTATAATTTTTTTTACCTTTGCATTCTTCGGCCACCACGCATTTCACATTTCGGCAGAGACTGGAAACTCGATCCCAAGGCACTGATGTTTCGAACGAGTCGCTCAACATTCCTAAATTGAGACAAACGTCCTAATCGATAAATATAATTAATTAAGAATAATTCAGATTAAATTTATTATCTTACTCTCATATAACCGATGGTTGAGGTCAGCAAATATCCTCGCTCTCCATTTTTCTCGCCAGCCGAAACGCCTCCGAACGTAGCCACCAGTTTGTCAATTTTTGCCTTATTTATCGCCACTTCATCTTCAAACCCTTTGATTAAACCAAAACTTTTCTCGATCATTTTTATTCTATATATTAAACAAGACCTTCAAAAACTGCAACGGCAAAGCTAAGTTGGTCCTCATCAATACTCAAAATTGTTCTCAACGCGAGCATTTTTAATTTTTCCATCAGTTGTCGGAAAAATCCCATCTGCTCTCTCATGATCAGGCCCATTTTGAATTGCATGTTGTCCAACACCCTCAGAGATGCAGGTTGTAATTTCTGAATTACAATCTATTTAATTTTGTTCTTATCTTAATACATAAGTTTTTAATTAAGATGCTATTGGTCCTTTAAAAGTGTCAGTTTCTTCAATACTTTAATTTCAAAATTTAATTTTTGAATTCTTATCATGGGCAAATAATTTATTAAAAAATAAATAGCTTTAAGTGTTTTAGTCACGGTCTGCAATCCTATTTTATGAGCAAGAAAGAAATTAGGGAAAAAGAATCAAATTAAATTTTTTTTTAATAAAATCAATTTTGTGAATTATTTTAATGATTTGTAAAAAAAGGTAATTAATTTTAATTATTTTTTTCTGTAAAATAAGGTCGTTTTGCTTTTCAACTTTCCACTTGTTATCTTAAAAACGTTTATTTTATATGACCTTATGTGCCACTTCGTGGGTGAATTTCACGCCGCTATCAAAATCAGGGAAAACGTACGAGGCGAACACCCGCGTCAGAGGCAGGGGCCTCACCTTGAGACCCACTTCTGTTATCACACCCAACGTCCCTACAAACACGAAAAACGAAGAGTTTTTCACCTCACATTTGTATATTGAAACAAAATGTTTCTCACCTTCAGAGCCAAGAATTATTTGGTTGAAATCCAGGCCGCAGGAAATTCTTGGGCCACGACTTTCCCTTTCGATCACACCTGCAGGGGTGACAAATTTTATGTGCACCACCAAGTCTTCAATATTCCCGTATTTGTTTTTTTTCATGCCCGATGCTCGGGTCGAAACCCAACCTCCAACACTAATAACATTTTTTTATGCAACAATTTATAGAATATATAACAATGTTGGAAAATCATTGTGTTTTTCGTATTTCTTAAAGGGCGAAGAAGTTAAATTTTATGAATTTGAATCGGCTTTATCTTCACCTTGAAAATTCTAATGAATCAGGGTCGTGGCCTGTTGTGAAGCCTTCGTCCATCAGTTTGGCTTCCAAGTCTTGACCATTAATTCCGCTCTGAACGCAAACCGTGAAATTCGACTTGTCCAACCACAAAATTTGGTTCTGAATTTTGAAATTTTTCTGAGCAACACTTACTGTAAAATTAATTTTTATACCATTTGAGAGGTGTCGAGAGAAACAATCATTCTTATTTCGTCAGGGCTGCAACGAAGGGCACAGGTCACATTTGTGCCCCCTCCGAAGGGTATGATGACGACGTTGTGTTTATTCGCCAGATGGACGATTTGCACTACTTGCTCGTGACACGCTGTAAAATAAGGAAAAAAATGTTAGTTGTTCTTTTTTTAACAAATTTTTAATTTTAATTAATTTGAAAAAACTTCGTGAGCTCACGCTGAAATTTTAATAAATTAATTCGCATCGTTAATAGATTTTTTTTTTCGAATTTGGCAACTAAAGAAGATGATGTGACAAACTGACTGCTGAAAAATTAAGGACTTTTAACGATTAGGTCAAGTTACTTGAGCAGCAATCCTAGAGACGGTGATGACTTTTAGCAAAAATTAGGACTTCTTATATAAGGGTCATGTGACCATAATTCTTTCAAAGCTGAATTTTATTTGGTGGAAATATTATTTGTATCTTCTTTTGGTTTGAGGCATGATTTTATATCGCGGTACATAATTACTTATTAAAGTTTAATAATTTCATTCAATTTGAATATTTTTTTCGATTTTTTTAATAAAAAAATTAAACATACTTGGCCAAATGACCATATCAGGCAGACGTTCAAAATGATAATTCCGGACGTTTACCAATTCACACATGGCCTGTCCGTGGCTACGGAAAAAACGATCCTCGCCATCAGTTGAAAAAGACACCTCGAGTTCTTGCACCCCTTTCAAAAATTCTTCAAAGAGACTCAGTGAAATAAAATTGATTTTTAATAAGATTATTAAAATATTTCAACCTTTCTTTAATAGCGAATCTGGATAATTATCTATTTCTGGAGATGGTGGCGGCTCAGGAATATTTTCAATTTGGTACAAATCAATGCCCCACACGTCTTGGATCCATTTCCTCACGTCTTGGGAAACTTGGCTTATTTTTACTTGTGGATACCTTTTGTAAAATATTTATATATGTCACATTTTTCCTTGTGTTTTTATACCTCTTGCTGGTGACAAAAAGCTTTCCTTTCTGCGAGCAAATCACCCTTGTGTCTTTGTAACCCCATCCGTGCCATTTGAGCAGCTTCTGTCTGCAACCGCGATTTTCGTCATATTTTCCGGGTGCAAAAATAGTCCTTACCTTTTCAACGGCATAGATCCGTTCAATTTTCCGCCCTGCATCTCACCATTGTCACCCGTCTCGGAACCGAACGACTCGAAATCCATCTCGACAATGAGTTCAAACGGCAGCAATTCTATTTGTTTTATAACGACTGACAATTGTTAAGTCATTTGTCTCTGCAGTTATTCGTGGACAGATGTTGAATGGAAAAGAGCAAAAAGTGCTAATGCTCTTTGTCAGAGAGACTTCAAGAGCAAATCTAATATTTATTTGTGCAGGCTGCTTGAATTGTTTGATTTGGGATTTTTTTATATTTTCCAAATAAACAATTTTGCGGGTACCATCATAAGGTTCTAAAGAAAATGTCCTAATTTGAGGTTAAAGACAATGTCCTACAGAATTATCCAATGTCCTAAAAGTTATGGTCGCACATTGTCCTAAAAATTTTGTCGTAATAGAATATCAAGAAAATGTCCTTATTTTTGTTTAAAAATTTTTATATAAATATTAGATTATATTATATTATATAAATTTTATTATAAAAAATTTAGGTTTCGACTGGGACTAACATGAACTTCATTCTTTTTAATAATACAATTCACCTATACAGCAATATTTTCCTAGTACGAATCAGAGTCAGGGTCAGCTTGGGACTCTATTTCAAATCCATGGTGATTGCAGGTTTAAATTCAAATTGAAGCAACTTACGAAAAATTCATCAATAATAATTTGACTTTTTCTGAATTTTGTCTCTTGGAACCATTTACACCATTAATTACAATCCAATAATTTGTTAATAGCTTGTTTGTTTGAATCTGAAGATGCATGGATAACAATAAATGGATGTTTTGCCAATACATTACAAAAAGTGAAAGAAAATCACAAAAATGAACCATTAAAAAGAAAAATATTCTTATTTTTACTTTTTTTGAGAAACTCAATTAATAATAATGATGACCATAAAAAAAGGAAAAAGTGGCCTCCGTTCTCCAAGCGTTGATCTTTACAGCTCAATTTTTATTGACATTATAATTTTGGTATATTTACAATTAATCCAATCAAATCTTGAGGAAAATTACAAATTTTTTTGTGCATGCATCTACAAGGTGAAGCAAAAAATAGATGAAAAAAGTAGGCAGATATTTAATTTATTGTTGCACCTTTTATTTGTTATATCATCAAGCATCGGGGTAATTTCTTTTCATAAATTTTTGTTTTGTAAAGAAAAATTAAAGTGGCATTTTTAATGTTTTTTAAATTCAAAACTCGGCTATTCATCCTCCATGAAAAGCGTGAAAGGATGCTGTGTTTTTTCTGCTGCTTTTTTAACTGCAGGCAGAAAATGTCTGTTTGGTAGCTGAGCATTCTGCATTATAATGCCGAGGATTGGAATCCGTAAATACGCAGTACTGTTTGGCCCCTAAAAATCAGCTTTGAGTTAAGTAAGAAGTCGATATTAACAATTTTTACCCCTAGTCATAGTCGCACAGTTCCAATAATCAGCAATCGCAGTTGGTAACGCTCTTTTATTGCCAAAAAAGCAATCTGGGCCAAAGCATGTGATCATTACATTACAATTTATGCAAAACCTTGAAATGCGTTGAGGTAATGTTGGACGAAGATGGGACTTGGCTAGGAAATCTTCAATCTCGTCGGTCATATTTCCAATGTGGGAAGGGGCGCACTTTTTGACCTTAAATTACAACCATTATGAAAGTGAGAAAATAATTTTTTTGTAGCTTGCCTTGTTTCTGTTGACACACGACCCGGTCTCCTCACTGAAAGCTTGGCCTTTGGGACAATTGATCACGTCAACAACTGCATATTTCGGCTCCTCTTTTTCGTCCTCGACCATATTTTCACATTTGATCATTGCACGGCAGTCGAAAGGGTGGGCCTGGATACCATCGTAGGGACACAAGTACCTTTCAAACGAACTCTTACGTTTGCCAAAGAACACAAAAAATAGCAAACAATTTACCCCTCGAGCTCCTTAATGGCATCTTCTTTGTTTGCCAAAGACTGGCCGACCTTTAAGGAAATATTTGTGAAATATTAATTTCAACTCAGAACGTGAAGCTAAACGTACGACCAAAGTGAGTGACAAAAGGAAGACCAACTTGGAAGTCATTTTGGTTGATAGTGACGCGAGGCGTGTCATTGCAGACTTTTTATACCGTTCGGCAGGGAATCGTGAAAGCGAAACGTGTCTTTTTCTTTAAATGATTTCTCCCTCACTACGCCTGCCCTTCCACGTTTCTTTTGAACTAAAGTTTCAAATTAAAAAACAGTTAAATGTTTACGGTGCGTTTTATTTATTTTATTATTAATTTTCTGATTTTGGCCATAATTAAAGTTGAAAGGCTACGAATAATTGTATAATTTCATTTATTTCACAATGTCCAATAGTTTTTTTTTTTTTTTTTTTATATTTGAAAGCCACATTTTTTTGTGCACTCCGCTGATATTAAACAGATATTTTAGGATAATTTAATAATGCAATTGTTTCATTTGGGACATTTTTCTATTTTTCAAATAAACAATTTTACAACGAAATTCATCAAATTAAAAAAAATTTGGAAACACCTATAGCTTTCCATGCTTTAATGCATAAAAAGGCAATTTTATTTATAGATTTTCCATATAAATTCGACAGGTTTATCAAAATATGTGTACAATTTAAAGTAAATGTCGCAAGAAATAATTATTTTACAAAGAAAGGAAATTGTTGATTCATATGCAAATTAATCTAGAGTTGATAATCTGTAATCATCTCCATGAATGCATGTTGATAGAATGAAAAAGTGAAGGAAACAAGACCTTCGCATTATTTTGAAACGCTAATTTTTATTTGTAATAGATCTTTTTTTCTGAATTTATAACAAGATTTTCATTTATTCTTTATATTACTAAACAACGGTGCACATCATGTAAATTGATGAAAAATATTTCCTTTATCCGCAAAAAGTATTTGAAATTACATTATATAATTATTTTTAATCTTGATAATATGTAATGATGTAAGCATCCAGAAACAAATTTTGCAAAAGTTCAAAAATAATATTATTAACAAAAATCCCATTCTGAAGTTTTTTTGTATGAAATATGTACAATATGCGTTAATGATCCAAGAAAAAAAAAAGATTTTAACATAATATTATATTATTTTTTTCAAACAAATTTAATTTAAAAAAAAAAATTTGCGACAATTTTTGCCGACATTCTGATTTTTGCCGTTACAAGTTAGCCTTCATTTCAAGCAGATTTCCGGCCGCGAAAATATTCTTCGGGTCAATCTGTTGCTTGATGGCGCGGTAAAGACTGACGCCGAGGGGCGAGACCTGCTTAGGCAGCCACTTTTGCCGCTTTTTGCCAATTCCGTGATGATGCGAAATGTTTCCGCCGCAAGCGATAACCTCGTCTCTGGCCACCTCTTCGATCTCGTCGTACACGTGGAGGGCCTTTTGGAAGTTCCACAAGCCGCGGTGGAACGCGAAATAAAAGTAGACGCACGCACCTGCGTCGTACACTTGAGTTACTCGACAAGACGTCTCGAAATGGGTAATGCCACGAGCTGGAAAATTAAATAATTAAAAGTCAAGAACAGAAATAATACAGAATTAACAACAAGAGGACATTAAAGTTTAAATGAAGAACTTTTGCGCGTCGAAAAAAAATAGAGCAAAGTATTAGTTTTTAAATTAATTATTTTGCCACAATTATTAAATTGTAATTATAATTGATTAGTACTAATTTACAATAGCCATTAAGCTCTAATTTCTAGGATTATTTAATTATATTGTAGTCAACCACAATAAATATATTTATGTATACAACAAAAACAAAAATATTTTCGGATTTATGTGCACCTAAAGTACAGTAAAAAATTAAATAATGAATTATATATTAAAAAAAATTATATAGTTAAAACTAAATAATATAAAATATTATATGTACTTTAATTTTTTTATTAAATTTTTGAATGTTTTAATAAAAAGCGTTTTTGTAATTAAAATTAAAGAAAGCTCATAAAATCAATCAATTTTGCTTTACTATAACGTTTGTGTAACAATTACAAAAGACATTTTAGCAATTATATTGGCTGGAAAAATGGTTTATAAACTTAAATACATTAAAAGCAAACATATAATTGCAAAACATATACACAATTTTACCTGTGCATTCGCGAGCAATGGTGTTTTTGACACTGCGGCACAAATTTGCACACCTGTCCCAGGGCACGGACGTTTCGAATGACTCGGCCAGGACACCATAGTCCATGCAAATGTCCTAAATAAATGGAATAATATTAACAAGAGCCTTCTAGATTTTTTTTTTATTCAATTGAACAAAAAATGACCCACTTATAGAGTAATTAGCCAGACAATTTTTTTAATCGTTCAGCTGATGAATAATAAATTTTGCCGTCTCACCCTGACATAGGCGATGGAAAACGTAAGCGTGTATCCGCGTTTTCCATTTTCGGTGCCGGCGCTCAGCCCGAGATGTTTCTCTGCGATTTTCCTGATTCGCGCCAAGTGTGCGGGAACGTCATCTTTGTCACCTGAATTTAGTGAAATAAAACGTTTAAATTATATAAATTTAATTTAATATCAACCTTCGAACACTGCAATGGCGATGCACAATTTGTCTTCGTGGTATCCGGCGATTGAGTGCAGGTAGAACATTTTGATCCAGTCGGCGATCGAACCGAAAAATCCGAGCCGGTCTTTGAAAACCTGGCCCATTTTGTACTGCTCGTTATCAATCAATCGCAGTGATGCCGGTTGACAACGCTGAAATATCAAACATCAAATTAAATTTAATTGTCTGGCAAGAAATTCAAGCTTTTATTTAATTAGCCAAAATATAATAAAGATTAATGAAGTCTCTCTTTTTGGAATTTTAATTTTCCTGACTTGCATTTCACTTTCGTGGTAGATAAAATTTTCATCAATCAATCCAAAATGAAGAAAATTATCTTCCTTTTTAATTTAACGAATCACCAAACTTTCTAAATTAAATTGAGTATGACTTAGCAATTTTTGGAGAAACAAATAGAAATCTACTGGTTCAAACAATCATTCGTGCGTTGTCCATTTTTTCTATTTCCTCTCCTCTATCGATGCGCATTAGCTTTTATTTTGGGTTCACCTTCAGAGCGACTTCTCGCATAAAATCAACACCGGCTTGGAATTCGGGGAACACAAATGAGGCGAAGTCCCGCACCTCAGGCACCGGACGAACTTTGATCACAACTTCTGTCACAACCCCCAAAGTACCTGGAATTAAATTAAATTCAATCCGTTTATTCTCTCTCACGACAGGTCAAAAAGTTATTTAAGAAAAATCATAAATCCAATTTGTAAATTATCTTGGTTGTTTAAAAAGCCTGTTGTGAAAAAAACAACCAGAATGTTGAATTAATGAAGTATATTGAACGTGTCTTTCATCAAGACGATCATGAACATGAAGTGGAAAAAAATTATGTAATTGTAATTTTAAGATTAAACAATAAAACTTATCATTTATGGTCACAACTGCGCAAAAAAAACATGGCAAATAAAAAAGAAGCCACGGTTCTACAAAATTGAAATGAGCTTTTCTATTTTTGAATAAATACTAAATTATTCTAAATAATGTTGTTTCAAATTAAAGATAATTGAGAACCAAATAAATGTTCTTTTAGTATATTTTTATCATCAAATATGCATTTTAACGGTTAATAATTGATGTGAAAAAAAAACAATCAGCGTGATACATTGTTTTTTTTTTTTTTTTTTTTTTCAAAAAGGGCAACGGTGTCACGCTCATCGAAAGTCCACTCTCTCTGTCGCGCAGTAATAATCACACAATTATGTTTTCATTTCCTCTTCTAAATCAGGCAGCTAATCACACTAATCACGAGTTTCGTCATTGCAGAACAAAACGATTTATCATACACGTGTGTGTGTGACTTTGCAAAATATTATAATAGAGCGTATTCAAGTGTCTGCCGCTCTCTAAATTTGAGCTTTTGAGGGACGAGCGTGTGCGTGAGTTGCCAAAAAAAAAACACTCATTTCAATAATGTAGTAGATACGCTACCGTTGCTGCGAGTGGTTATGTATTGACGCTGCAAACTTCTCTTTTTTGTGTACACATCGATCAGTTCACACTTTAATGAGACACGCACCTTCAGAGCCGAGAATGATGTGGTTGAAGTCGGGCCCACTGGAAATTCTCGGGCCTATACTTTGCTTCTCGATTACGCCGGACGGTGTCACGAATCTGATGTGCACCACGAGGTCCTCGATGTTTCCGTACTGGTTTTTCTTCATTCCCGAAGCTCGCGTTGAAACCCATCCACCCAAACTGCAAATAATAAAATAAATAAAATGTTAATATCTTCTATTTAAACATGTTCATATTTCCTACGTAAAAAATCAAGTGATTTCAAATGATTTTTTTACTTTTTATCAAGATCCTAAAACAGATTTATTTTATAAATTAAATATTTTTATAACAAAAAGTAATTGACTTTAATTTTAGAATAGAGTGGAGTAGAGTTTAATAACGAGTAATAAAATTTTATGATCTAAAAATTAATGAAAACATATTGTTTTTTTGTTACAAATCTAAAAGTAATAAATGGAATTGGGAAGTTCACAAATTATTTTTATGTGTTTTGTGTTGCGATTTAGCAGCCTGTCTGCTACCGCTGGTGCCTTTCCCAAGAGGGATAAACAATTTAAAAAAAAAAAAAAAGATTTACTAGTATATTTTGTAAAGCAACATTTATTATAAGAAATCACTCATGTTTGCATTCACTCTAACAATCCACAGTCTCCACCCACAATGACGCTCAATCAACACAAAATATCAAATCATCAATGGTTTTGTCCAAGGTCTTTCAAAAAAGCAAATTTGTCAAGCTTTCTCAAGCGAGAGAAAAATATCGAAACGCAATGAAGCGTCGTCGTCTCCAGGAGAGGTGTGTTCAAATTTATGTGTTGAATCAAACGGAGAATCATTATAATATCTATCGATGTATCTTTTGACGCTTTTTTAGCAGCGTTTCGCAATAGATGGGAGATAATTACACGTTCTTTATCTTTGAAGTTTATAGGAGGACATTGAAAGCTTTTATGATTCAAACGAGCCTATCACGTGTGAAATTTTAAAATTTTGCATAAATTGTTTTTTTTTAATAAGAAATTAATTATATACCTTGAAAATTCCTGCGAGTCTGGCTCGTGCCCCGTCATTAGTCCGTGCTTGCCCAGCTCCCGTTCCAAATCTTGACCGATGATTCCAGATTCGCAACAAGCCGTCATGTTCGCCTTGTCCACCCACAAAATTCGACTCTAAAAATATTAAAAAAAAAATGACATTTATTTTTACATCTCTTTGTTGTAAACACCGGATAAATCACAATTCAAATTAAGTACATATTTATTTATTTTTAAAGTAAAAAAAAGACGAAGATGCAAATGCAGATCTCTAAAGGGAAAAATTGTTTGCACTCTCGTAGACGAATCCCTGCATTTACATGTTTGCTCTTCCTTTTAACGCAAAAACTTTCTCTCCTCGCTTTACGCACCAAATGATAATAAACATTCATACTTCGCAGACAATCCTTAGAAAATCCACTCCCACAAGAAGATGAAATTTATGGCCGGCGTGCATTAAGTAAATCATGCGTAGCCGTTCGGGAACTTCAATGATTGCAATTACGAAACTGCTTTCGCGCAATCCGACGGGACAAAAAATTAAATAAGTAATGGATTTTTTTTTTCGCTTGGAAGATGAAGATATGGAAGGCTGCATGTAATATCTGCTTGCTAAACGGGCGTGACGCATTCTCCTCCGTCTGTCTATTGATTTCTAACGCATTGTGACGTTTCAAAGATTGATGTTTGCATCGCACCAGCAAGCGTAAAAAAAGTCGGAGCGCGGCACACATTTCACGCGGTCAGCTGCTCAAGGTGAGGACAAATTACAATAATTGCTTGTAAAAAATATGGAATCGGACTGCGGCTTTTTTTAGTTGCTCACTATCCATGAAATATATGATCTGCTGTTGTGAGTTGCCAGGTTGAATAATTGGCAGGAATGAGATAATAATAGATTATGCTCGAGACAGTATGCTATATTATATGATTCAAAAGTTTAGTGAAAGTTTTCATAAATATTTTAAATTTGAATGACCGTTTTTTTAGTAGAAATTATTAATATTTATGTGATTAAATCATAAATTTTTTAACTAATGCAATGGATTTAAATGATCCAATAAAACCTAAATTTTCTATCAGTGTAATAAGTTTTCATCCACAGCTGATTAACTGAAGATCAATATTTAAAAATATAATTCTTAAAAATTTTTAATTTAAAAATAATTATAATAATTATTTAACGTTTTTATCATTAAAACTGCGATCATTTAATATTTAATTTACTAAATAATGCAATGAATTAAAGCATAAAAAATTCAAATTAAAACAAATCTATTATGATGTGAAAAGATTTTTGAAATCTATGTAGTTAATCTGAAATTATTGTTTATTAATTTTGACCTGATTTTAACCATAAAAGTAAGTAAATTTTTTATAATCCTGTCATTAACAATTGAATTGGGAGTTCTTGAAAATTCATATAAAGGAGCAAAAGTTTCTACATTTTTGATATTAAACTTAAAATAAAAGTTTTTATGATCGATTTTTATTGCCAATTAATTAAAATAAAGCAATAAAAAAACATTTGATCCTCTGAAATATTCGCAATTCTATTTGTGACGTTATTTAGTTTAATTAGGTTTAAATTATTTAATTATTTTGCTCTGTTTGAAAAGTTTGATAAATAAAAAATTATGCCTGGGTCAGTATTATTATTAATGGTGTAATGTAAACAGCTTTTTTAATGAGAGACACATTTTTTTCCTTTCAAACTACGTGTTGGTGTAATTTAGCATGAACTAATTGTAATTGAGCAGTTGAAATCTTATCGTGAAAGGAAAAAACGGGCGCGTTGCAATTAAAAGCCTGCAGACCGTTTAATTGCACGTGCGTGTTCGCCACGCGTGCAAATTCGCAATTCGGTGAAAACGGCGGTCTTTTTAGCGAAATTTAATCTCACCATCTGCGACGTATCCAGCGACACAATCATCCTGCTTTCGTTGGGGTCACAGGAAAGGGCAAGGGTGACGTTGGTGCCGCCGCCGAACGGGATGATCACCACGTTGTGCTCGCTCGCCAAATCCACCAACTTCACCACGTCGTCGTGACAACCTGTGGACATTCCAAAGGTCATACAACATTTTTTTTTCCCGCAATCCTAGAAGATAAATAATCATTCCTGGCTTTCTCATACCTGGCCAGACGACTAGGTCAGGCACGCGCTCGATCCCGCCGTGGCGAAGATGAACGATGTCGTCCAGCGTGTGGCCGTGTCCGCGGAAGAGACGGTCGTCGTCCTCCATCGAGTACGAAATGTTGTGAAAAATCAACCCCTCCATAAATTCTGGTTAATCGTAAAATTCAGAGATCAAAATTAAATATTGAAATACAAATTCTAAGCTAAAAAGATAATTTATTGCCCTAGTTCCAGTTTAATTCATAATTATATTGAAAAATAATAAAATTTCAAAACCAAAATTGAATCTGCGACTTTCACTCTTAAGGGTTTGTAAAAATTCACTTTTTCCTGCCAAATGAATTTGAGCCTCAAGGGAGTTTCTCAATATTGAAAATTGCTTAATTTGGTAGAATAATTGTAAAGCGATTTTGATTTTCATCACGAACTTCTGTGCTCATTTTTTAATTTAAGAATGAAAAATAATCATTGCTGTAGAGTTCCTCTAATGAAAATGATAATTTGAGTTGTGAAACCTTAGATGACTGAGTAATTTTTACTAGAGATTCCTACCAATCTAAAGAGACAATATCTAAAAATTTGATGAATCAGCAAAATTCGTCTAAACAATCTAATTTGATCATCACGTTTGAGAAATTGAATTAAAGTCAAGACAAACCAGGGCCCAAAAAAATGTCAAAAATCCTGTAAAAACAATTTTTTCCCAAAAATTTTAACGGTTTAAACTGGATTCTATGTAATTTTTTTATCGCTTGTTTATACAATTAAGAATGTATACCGTCTTTAATAAGTGGTTTGCTGACTTCCATTGGTGGTTGCTCTGGTGCGCAAATTCTTTTCGACTCGTCGAAAAGGTCCATATTTAACTTGTTCCTGAGCCACAGGCGCACAGAATTTGTAACGAATTTATCTTTCATGTCCAAATACCTATTGAAGGAAACAATAGATTGCGAAATGATGCCAGGCATGATTATGTGATGAAAGAGATCGTTTGCAGTGGATATAAAAAAAACATGATTTATTTTATTTCACTCACCGCTCGCCACTCATGTACATTTTGCCTGTAGGCTCGACAACCATCCTGGTGTCTCCGTAGCCCCAACCGTTCCATTTCAGCATTGTTTGTCTATCGAGTGCAAATTAAAGGTCCAATTATTTATCAAGATTGAGAAGAGATCAATATATTTTTTACTACAAAATAAACTCCCAATGCCACTTTATGTTCTAAAAGGCGACTTAAAAGTTACATTGATACAATTACAAAATTTACTTTTCTTTATAATTTTATAGTTGATATAATTCATATAATTTAAATAATTGTTATTTACCTAATTCCAGCCTAATTCTTTATTTTAATTAATATTTTTGCATGCAAAAAAAGTGGAAAACAAATCAAAACTGCTAGATTTCAATAAAACAAAGAGAAACAAAACATTTTTTTTTAAATCATGAAACTTTTAATTCTGCTTGAAATTTTATTCGGCTCATTATTGTAAAAGGAACAAAAAATGAAATAACTTTGAACAATTATATCAAAATGGACCATTGAAGAGATGTGTTTGCAAAATGAAAAATATCGAAAATTGAGCTTATACAATATGAAATATGAAGCAGGCTTTGTTACGTAACAATATAATATATGATGCACTCATTTTTTTGCTCTTCGAAACCGCCGTATGTAGTTTGTGTATACCGAGCCGCACCGTGCAAAAAAGTGTAAAATTTCAACACATCTATTGCGGATGTGAAGATACAAAATGATTGCTAGGAATGGGAAAAAAACTTGCTTATTATGTCGTTTGAGAAGTCTTGAATGAAATTTTTGTACCATCTCTAGTTTCTAATTACTCGAGAAATTAAGAAATTAAATTACAACCTCGCAAAATCATAAAATAAGTTTTGGATACGAGATGTTTCAGTGAGCTGACAGGTGAAAATGTGCATAAACCTTGAATGGACGCGATTTATTAATATTTTACGTGTAATTTGCACATTTTAGTTCTCTGCAGTGAATTTGTTAGCAACTAGCAATTAATTTAATTACACGCTGAATGAATATCTTAGCCAAGGAAAGTGGCTAACGAAATTTTGAAGCAAGAAATTAAGTCCATTAATGGGTGAAAATCAGGAGATGAAATTGATTTCACTTAATCCAGTTAAATACTTCAGGCATCAATTATTTCATATGCAAATTTAATTTATTCATGTTTCCTAAATTCTAATTAAGATATTTTGCTTCATACAAAGGAAGTAATTTGACTAATTGTGAGGGGTAGGGGCATGGAAATGTTAAGGGAAATAACTACATTATTTTATAAATATCTTATCTATAATTACACTTACTTAGAACTTAATAAACAGCTAAGGAAAATTTGCAAAAAAAATTATTATTTAATGTGCTTGGTCATAACGCAAAAAATAAATAAATGCAACAAAGTTTTGCAGTTTTTTAAATCAAATAAAGGTAAAATACCTTTTCTTCGGTATGGTGTTTGTGGTTTTCTCAGGGGTGATGACCATGTGCGCCCCATGGTCGGCACCTTTGCCTTTGCCATCATCAGCGGCGCACTCTTTGATCGAAGCATCCATAGGTGAGCGTCGCGATGCACACCCTGAGCCGTCCATGGTGCGACTGCAGTCGAGATTGGGACGTCAGGTGGACCCTGGGTATTCTGTCTGATCAAAGTGGGTGGTGGGGAGAGTTTCGAAAAAGAAGGTGCATCGAAGCACGCACCGTGTGAGAAATGGAAATGATCACTCGCGCGGCTCGCACTGCACGCGCACAATACACACTTTTTTTTTATCTCGAACGGCTCGGCCTCAAAATTAAGCTGAAATGGTATGTGTGAGCAGGAAAGGAGAATTCATTTTTCTTTAAAAAGGATTTGCACGCTTTACACAAGTGGCTGACTTTTATGAGCTCATACATTGTGTGTTGAGGAGAGAATCGTGAAATGCATGGGTGCGCCCACAAAGTGGACGTATGTACAGTTTGTGCTTTTTTTATGAAATTTTAATATGAATCTTATTAATAAACAATCAAATTTCAAGCCCTTTCTGCTCATAATTCCTATTTTTTTTTTATAATTATTCCTCTCATCAGAAGGCTTGCGTTGGATAAACCGCAATAATAAAATTATAATTAAAAATCAAAGTATGGATAATTTTAGGGACACAAAATTAAAAAAAAATTATAATTATATAAATATAATTTTTTTTTATAATTCTAGAACACGTTCAATTAACAACGTTTCATTATTAAAAACAACTTCACTGAATTTTTAGAATTGTATATATATTGTATTCTGTCATTGCATCATTGCTGCACTCACAGAAGCTCAATGTAAATTTTACGGTCCGATTGTTAATCGAATGATTTTATTACACTGAAAACCATTTATTATTTGAACTATTTATTCATAATTTCTTGCAAGTTTAGAGTCTTCGATAAATGCAAGAAATAATCAATATTTATTAATCAAAACTCTCCCATTTTGCATTTTTTTTTTAATGTCTCGTCATTTGGAATCAAACAGTAACCAATTAATGTATTAATTATTAATAATTTAAAAAAAATTAAACAAGCCTGTTTTTAGCACAAAATCCGTAATTAATATTACTTTTTTGGCTCAAATTTATTCACACAAAAATCCTTCCAACTAATCAGGCCATTTTTAGCACAATAATTTTTTTTTTAATTGTAACGAAAAAAATTAGTTTTCAATCTTCGACGCTCCTCGCGGTGTTCAACTTAATTCGCGAGTGCAGAAGTTCTTCGTGAGGTGGAGCACCAACCTTGCGCTTGCTAATTTTGCAAGCGAGATTCGCACCTGAAAGGTACGCCATCTGCAGGTTCACTCTGCAAGAGGAGCCGAGAATGCATTCTATAGAATATACCTCTCCTCTCTAAATAGGAAAAACCGCTATAAAAAATTGGCGAAAAATCAAGGGCAATGGAGACAGAGGATAGAGAAATTCAAATCTGTAAGCTTTATTCCATAGGTTGGAATGCAATTACTGTGAAAACTGTGATAAGTATACACAAACGTGACTAGGCATGTCATTATTTTTAAATTACGTCCAAATTATGCGGATGTTCCTAGCGACTTATTCATTATATTAAGGCAGCAACCCTTTATTCCGTTTTTTTTTTTACCTAAGATTTTCTTCCCTCAATTGTAAAAACGATGACAGTTGCAAAATATAAATATTTTTTTAAAAGTTAAATTTTCATTCAAAATAATTAGTGTTTATCAGAAGAAAAAATTCCCACATTTTAAGCGATTTTTAGTTTTCATTCGAACACAGAAGTTTGTTTAATAAATTTTTCTATTCTGTCTAAAATTTTCTACGAATGACAAAAAAATGAGTAAAATGGTAATGCTGATCAACTTTTTTATTCATCTAATATAAAAATATATCAAAAGTCTTCATTTTTATTTTATACTCAACAATAAGCAAATCTCTTTTGTAATAGAAAAAGGCAGCTTTTCTGCTTTTTCCTCGTCTCATTAATAATTCTCATGAGTAATTGCACCTGAATCACATGATTTTTACTCAGAAGTAGAATTTAATTATCACAAAGATGACTTGAGCAAAATTTCATCACTGTACAATTGAATGTCAGGTGTGAAGACGGCGCTATTTTTTTGCGGCGAGTAGAAGTTGCTACTGGTATGAAAAGCAGGTCTGCAAGTTGGAAAATCCGCCGCGTTCTGAATCGGTGCCCCCGCGGTGTTGGCTCGAATGTGCTCCGTCACAGAATGCATGAGTCGATTAGTCACGTGTGGTGGCACCTCACACGGAAACCTGAAGCTGAAAATCAGGTTGGCGCCAAATGGAGTCGATCTTGGCGAGATTCGACATGCTGCTCCAAGGTGAAGCACTCCGGCAACTTTTAATTTGAAAAAAGAAATTAATTTTATATTAAAAAAATTATTAATTATTACTTTGACACTCTTGCTGAAAGAACTGGTCGACGGCTCTGCACAAATTTGCGCACATGTCCCACGGCACGGTTGTAGAAATGAATTTGGTAAAACCCTGTTCAGAGACGGCTTCTTCCAACGGGCCTAAAACATTCATTTACTCAGTAAATCAGCGAGGAATTCGGTGGAATAATTCTTTATTTAAACATGCGACGTACAGACAGTGTATTCATAATGCGGCACCTCTTTTATTACAAAAGGGCTTAGTTAATTTATTCCACAATTATTTAAAGAAGATTGGAAATTGGAATTTCCGGGAATTTCAATGTTGAATACTTTTTTTTAGAATTAAGTTCTATAAAAGAGTAATTTTTTAACTATGAAAGTGTACTAAAGTAATTTTTCGGACTTCTCTATTGCTGAAGTTAACATAGAATTTAAAAAGAAAAAAAATTCATAGTTGAAATTATTTAACTTAGTATAAGAAGCAATTTTGGTACATCTCAGGGTACATCCTTATATAAAAAGTATTTTTTTTTGTTTTTTTTTTTTTTTATTGGCAAACTATATTTTTCAAAGGTTATTTAATTGCTAAATAGAAAGCATGGAATGATTTAAGCCTTACCTTCAAAAAAACTATTTTGTCGATTCCCAACATCACGAAAGCGAGAGTCAATCCTGCAATGATTCAAAAGGTCACGTCATAATGAATTTAGTTTTATGAACAAAGAACATTAATAGATAATAAGTCTTTCTTTTCTGATTGTTTATTTTTAACGAAGCACATATAGAAAGTGAAAATAGATAACCGATGCTATTGAAAAACTGCTTGCGGCTTAGGCTGTATTGTTAAATCCATATTTTGAAAGGGAAACTGAATGACTTTGGCTTCTTTTTGCCACTTCAGAGGCGCACGCTTCATGAAGCTGCAAAAAAATCAAAACCAAACAAAGTAAATGTGCCGCGCAACGAGAAAGTCAGTTTTTGTCTACCTCAATTAGCGGCCGCGCCGCATCAGCATCCAGCCAACTGCTCTTTCAATTTCTTTTTTGCATTCATCCTTTTCTAACCTACTTTAAACTCAGCCTAATGCCACATATCATCAGGGATGAGAATATTGTACCCTTTTTCCATAAAATAATCGCATTTTTGTCAGCAATTTTTTTTAGCTTATAAATATTTGACTCATTTTTTTTACGATTTTTTTCTGTTTATATTTTAAAATTTTTAATTTTACCGTGACTAGAAATTTTCTGAATTAAATGTCAGAAATTTTAAAACGGTCACTATAGTAAATAATATTTTATGCAAATATGGTGTGTTTTATAAAAAACAGAAGTTAATTTTAAGCTAAACTGTGTTAATAATAGTTGATTTGAATTAACACCATATTAATTTTATGAAAAAGAGCAAAGACTTTAAATCCAATCTCTGCACGTCATAATATTGGTTGTTGTTTTATATTTAACTGTTTTATTTCCCTTCAGAAATTCGTTCATCCGACAGAAGAAAGGATGGGTAAATTTTAAATGACGTAAATATTCTTGTACGTAATGTTAATTGTGTTGACACAATAAAGCAGGACCTGTCTCTTTTTTATATTCATTTCGTGCTTCTCACTCAATTCAGTGTAAAGTGAGGGAGACAGCAGGAGATTTCAATGAGCGGCGTTTGGTACCTCGTACTTAAAATTCGCAGCAGCGCGCGACAATGCACAAAATGATTTGCACTCTTGGTTATGAAAATCAAGAGCCTCTTGTTACTTTTTTACCTCGTGAATTTAAGGCAGCTCTGCTAGGAAATACACACATTGAAGTACATTATTTTTTTTTAATTTTACTTCAAGTACTGGAACAAATGACACTGGCAAATTGACGCGGTTCCCGTACTAAACAGCTTCTCAAACACAGACAAGTTTGGTCACACAAAAGATCCATGATTCACACCTTGAGAGCTGTTTGCACGCTCAGGTGAACAATGGTAATTAAAAATGCATTATGTAGACTTAAAAAATTTTTCAAGTTCAAACTTGCCTTACTTGATCTTAAGTAAGGTTGTACGGATGTTTATTTTTTTACTCTACTTTTATTTTCTTTTTTTCAACTGATTTAATTCAATTTTGTTAATTATTATCACAGCCAATTCAAAAAGAAAATATTCTGGAGAAAAATCTGCATAAAATTTTAGGAAACTAATTAAATAATTAAATTTCTCTTTACAAAACTGCCCGATTGTGTCGATTTTTTTTAACTTCTCATCATGACGCGTTCGTGAATATATAAGCAATCGACGAGTTGTGAGATGTTTGAACAGGTATTAATTTACTTTTGTTTTCTCTGAACTTTTACCTTGCCAAGGCTGCAATTGAGATTCGCACAAAAAAGCATGCGAAAGTAGCACACGAATTGCAATAATTAACAAAATATTTGCTTGAACTTTCAATCGCGCTAAAATAAGTTTTTATGATTCATCGCCAAAATTAGCAGCTCTATGTTCAGTGCGTTGTATCTATTTAAAAAATGCGACTCCTTCGCAGCAAGATTCTCGCAGTCAGACCGGTTTGGAATTGACCTTTGAGCGTAGAGGTCAGCTTTTGTTGCGTAAGAGGAGAATAAAATATAAACGTGCTTTCAAAAAAGCATCCTCACTGATCAAAACCAAAAGGTTTGAATTTTGTGGTAGAATTTCACGATCGAGAGGGTTGATTCATGGTAATTTGAATAAGAAATCCGCTTTTCCTCGACGCATTTTGTGAGTTGTTTAAAAAAAAAAAAAAATACATATCTGCAGCCATAATTCATGAGCTGTGAAATCATTTTGACATGAAGTCGTACAAAAATCAATCTTTAAAAAATATTTTTTATTTTCAAATTAACAATTTTTGTGTAAAATTATTTTAAGATAAAATTTAACTCAAAATAATTTTTCTCTAAGACAGTTGAATTCAAATTAAAAAAAAAAAATACAAACATTTTTGTCGACGAGAAAGGTAAGCTCAAAACACACGTTTCAACATTCCGACCAATATTATTAGAAAAATTAATTTGTTATAAAAATTATAAATTTTTAATTCAGCTCTACTTGTGATGGAAATTATTTTGTGTAAAATGTAGCGCTCTTTAAATTAATTTTCACGCAAAATTCTAAAAGTTTAAAAAAAAATCTTTATTAAAGATTGATTTTTGTATTAATTCTCTTGTCAAAATGATTTCGCAGCTCTTGAATTATGGCTGCAGTCCGCAGGGATATTGTTTTTTTCTTAACAGCTCACAAAACCGATCAAGGAAAATCCGATTTTAAATTCAAATAACCATCAAAGTTTTTAACCACTGGCATATATCCCATTGCATAATTTCTTTTTTGTATTAAATATATTGTTCACTTTATATTTATGTCATGACAAAGAGTCGCTATTGTTGATGACGGTACGTTTATACGTTACTTGAGATTTTCATCTCGTGGACTAAAATTAGATTCACGCTGTAATAAGACAATTGATGAGAGAGAGATACAAATTTAATAATGCGGCAATTGAAATTGAACGGCATCTGCGCGCCAAACAATTATCGAGGAAGCAATTCTATTATTGAACACGTTACGTTCAGAATAACAATAGAACATTACATGGGTGACCTTAAAACATGTGTCTTCTTTTATGTTATTATCTATATTCAATTATTACAATTGTAATTTGTAAGAGGCTTGTTATTTTGGAAGGAAGACGCCTTATAAAAGCAGCCGACTTTCGAACTTTCAAAATAAATTTAATTTCGGTACAATTTATAAATGAAAGTAGTTTTTTACCGTGATGCATGCATCAGAGACTTAACTGTGCGCTGATGAGAGAACGGTACAAAATATTAAAACAAAGAAATTCACACCTGCAAATGTGGGATTGTGGGCCAGGTGGAGTGGCTGGAGCGCCCCTTGGCTCAGTTTCCGAGTCGGCGGCTGCAGTCGTTCTTATAACGGGCCTGCCCTGGAGGTCACTCACCTGCTGCCCGACGTTTTTGACCAAATAATTGAGCAGCTCTTGAGAAATGGACGGTTCCGTTCGCACCGAGTGCTCCGTCGAGTCGAGATCGAAAAAGGGTTTGAAACCCTGCTGACACCCCAGAGACGGCATGGCGAATGTAAGACCCTGCTTGAGATTTTGTGTGCGCTCGGCTGCCTTTGCCGGAGAGAAATGCTCTCTGTTAAGTCTGTTTTGTCGGTGGCTCAGACCCCCTCTACCTGACGGACTCGGTGAACTGGATGTTGTGATACTTCAGGTTCTTCTTCCTGAAATAAGCAACAGGCGGTCGCTGCAACTGCCACTGCCGGACTAACATAAACATTATTGTTTGCTTCCTTATCTGTTTAGAGCAAAGTTTCTTTTTTATCAGTTTGAGGTCAATCGAAATAAAACACTCCTGATTTTGCATAATGTGCACACATATCATCTGAAAGCAACTTTGGTTTATTACTTTTTGTACCAAGAGAAGGGAGACAAAACTTTCATGCAAATACAAGACGGCGGTAACAAATTTTATGACTATATCGAGGACAATCAAAATTTTATTTATACTATCACTTTCATTTTACAAATACAGTGTAAAAGAAAAAGATTCGTTTGTGATCTTTATCATTATTTTGGTTCAACATAGGATAGTAATATTTCAACTTAGCAAACTCAACAAAAAATAGGTAAAAGATGACTAAATCGTTGTAAAATCAAAATACTGGGGCATTTTTCTACTTCAAAAATGAACACATTCTAGCTTTAAAAGCTTGGTAAAAATTCAACGCTCTAGCAGAACTGTGATCTCAAATAATACTGTTGAATAAATAAATCGGGACCATTCCAATACGATTCGAATTTGAGAATGTTTGTAGACTAAAAGTAATAGGATCAAAAGCTGATCAAGCTTACAAAGTTGGAATGATCACATCATTTGAGCTCTTTATCAAGAAACACTCAATGGCAAAAGTATGAACAAGGAAGGAACTTGATCATCTTGATCACAACAAAAATGGCAACCAACTCACAATTTGGCTTGCAGCTCGTGGCTGCCGGAGTCCAAATTTCCGCTGGCAAATATATTCTTGGGGTCCAACTTTTGTTTGACCGCACGGAACAACTGCACGCCTTGACTGGAGACCTGCTGGCGGTACCACTTCTTCCTCACTTTGCCGATTCCGTGGTGGTGAGAAAGGCTCCCCCCGCTGGCTAGAATTTCGTCTCGGGCAGCTTCTTCGATTTCTTCGTAAACGTGGCAAGGGTCTGGGAAGGTTCCGTAGTTGAAGCCAAAGTAGAAATAGACGACGGAGCCGGCATCATAGGTTTGAGTCACTCGACAGGTGATCAGATAGTGGTGAATGCCCCTGGCTGAAGAAAGAGTCATATTTTAATTGATTATATCAATTTTTTCCAAGGATTTTATGAGTTTAAAAATATTTTTTCTTAATACTTGAAATGTAAATTATTATTTAATAATAATAAAAAAGCTAATATGTAATATTTCTTAATTATTTAATACTTATGTCTTTTTTAACATATTTAAAGTTCAACTGATTAAAATAATGTTTTATGTGCAATAAATGGAGAAAATATATGATACATTGTAAAAAAAAAATGCTGAGTAAGTTTCTAGACATTACTGTAATGACAAAAAAAAAATACTGCACTAGATCAGACCCGAGACCCAGATTGCAGTTTAAAAATGTCATCATGACAAGATGTGAATGATCCTGTTTGTTTTTATAATTATTTGTTGTTCCGATTTTTTTTTTTAAATTATAAAGATTTGTCGAAATAAAAAAGAATCACATTAAAAAAGATTTATGCAGAGAGCAAGGAGAGAATTTAGAAAATAATTGTTTTCTCCTTATTACCTTTGCACTCAGCAGTAACTCTTCCCTTGACATTTCTGCACAGAGACAGTGTCCTGTCCCACGGTACGGACGTTTCAAAAGACTCGGCCACAATGTTGAAGTCAAACCCAAGATCCTGAAATACTCAATTAGGAAATCCAAAGGAATACACAAATTTTTTCTCCATACTCTGATGTAGGCGATCACAAATGTCAGAACATAGCCCCTTTGGCCGTTGACCTCTCCCGCCGGCATTCCTCCGAACTGACTGCCTATTTCGTAGACCAACTTCTCCTGAGCCTCAACTGCAGTTTGCTCACCTGATTTTTATCAATGTAAATTAGCTAAATTGTAAGATTTAAAACGATATAACTTTACCTTCAAACACAAGAGTGGCCACAACCATTTTATGAACGTCATATCCTTTCATCTTGGTGACGTAAAATCTTTTGAATCCATCTGCAATGCCGCCGAAGAAACTTGGCACCGCCTTCAGTGCCTGGCCAAATTTAAACTGCTCGTTGTCCACAAGCCGAATAGACGCTGGTTGGCAACGCTGTTCAGAAATAAATTTAAATGAATGAGTCTTTTAATTCAAAATGATTTGATAACTCACTCTCTTGGCGACTTCTCTCATGCACTGCACTCCAGATTCAAAATTGGGGAAAATAATCGAGCCGTACTTCTTGCAAGGCGGAAGTGGCCGGACTTTCAAAATGACTTCTGTGATCACACCGAGGGTGCCTTCGGACCCAAGGATGACGTGGTTGAAATCGGGACCGATGGACACTCGAGGGCCTTGCGTGTTTTTTTCTAAAACTCCAGTGGGCGTGACCATTTTTGCGTGGACCAGCAGGTCTTCGATGTTGCCGTAGACATTCTTTTTCATGCCTGATGCTCTTGTGGCCACCCATCCTCCAAGACTAAATAGCAAAAAATTTAATAATTAGATTATCTTTTCCTTACTGACCTGTTCAGGAATTATATTATTATAAATTTAAGTTTGAATTCTATACTATTGAAGTGAGAAAAATTTAAAAAAATAAAAATAAATTAAACTAACAATTAGCTTCAATCAGAACTATTCAATACTTTTTTTAATTGAGTATTTTTCAATTAAAAATTTGTAGGAAAAAAATTTTATAAAATATATAATTTTAATTAATTAAAATTCTATATTAAATATTATAATAATAATTTAATAAACTTTAAAATCAAAACTATCCATAATTTTTTAACAAAATAAAATACCTAGAAAATTCATGGGAATCCGGCTCATGTCCAGTTGTAAAGCCGTGCTTTTTCAACTCTCGTTCCAAATCTTGGCCAATTATTCCAGCTTCAATGCAAGCTACCAAATTATCACGGTCTAACCAAAGAATGCGGTTCTGCAAAATATTCAAAGATGAAATTAAATTAGTTTATTAGAATTAAAAATTTGAAAGTATAAAGATGGGCATTCATTTTATATGAAAAGCAGACAAAGAGGATGATATTTGAAAGTCATTTCCAATCTTGAATCCTGTGATTAAATTTGTATAATTATTATAATTTTACATTAATTTTTAAATTTATTGTTATTTCACTAAAATGTAACTCTCCATCTTGTTTTTCTTTCTTTTAAATTCATTAAGAATATTACCATTTGAGACATATCTAAGGAGACAATCATTCTCTTTTCGTCCTCAGGGCAAGAATTGGCACACGTGACGCTGGTGCCTCCTCCGAAGGGCATGATGACCACATCGTATTTCGCAGCCAGAACCACAATTTTCACAACCTCGGCATGAGAATCTACAAATAAATTCATTTTAAACTAATCATCGAATCAAAATTTCCAATAGTTTACCTGGCCAAATGACTAGATCGGGTATTCTGGCAAACATGCCGACTCGGAGCACGTAAATATCGTGCAAAGTGTGACCGTGGCCTCGGAAAAGTCGGTCCTCGCCATCCTCGGAAACGGACAAATTCAAATTTTTAACTTCAGACAAAAATTCTGCAATTAAAAGTTATTAACTTTCGAAAGTAAGAGTAAATTTCAAAACAACCTTGATTAATGATTGGTGTCGGAAAACTAGTGATTGGTGGCTGCGGTTTGATTGGATTGCTCAGGTCAACGTTGAATACGTCTTTCGTCCACTGAGTGAAGTAAGGCAACTCCAGCTCGCCGATGGGGTATCTGTTGCCGGTGAACCAAATCACACCTTTCCTCACGGCAAACTGAGAGTCCGAATATCCCCATCCGTTCCATTTCAGCAAGTCCTGCCTGTTAATTATTATTAAAAACATTAGAACAAATTACATTTAACAAAATTCTATTCATAAAATATAAAAAACTCTCCTCAAAAAATATACCTAAAATCTTTTAAGTATATACATAAAAGAAAATTCCTGAAAGTGAAAATTAATTTTTGACCGATCATGTTGAATGAAATTATATTTTTGTCTCTCACTGGCAAGAGGCCACCTTAACTTCTAGATTGATAAGAAAGACATTTTTATTACTATATTGCGAATTTTTTTTTAATAATCTTAATTGAGATTTATGGCCCTTGATGGGTGTGTCTCTTCAGCACCCACAATTAATCGTTCAGGTTATGTAAGAGATAAATTTTAAATTAAAGTTCCAGTGCGAAGCTCTCCAAAATGAAATATTTTCTATTTAAATACAAGGGAATTCTAATTCGAACCTCTTTTTGGGAATCGCACTGGGCGTCGGCTCGACTTTGGCCGCTTTTCGGAATTGCTGGCCGTTGTTTTCGGCGCTGTAAACTTCGACGAACGAGTTGCTGTCGCCGTTGGTCGCGGCTTCCTTCGATTCGGCCGACATCGAGCACCGATGCAGTCGCGTCGATTCGCCCACAAATTTTTCTTCCACGTTAATCTTTTAACTGATATTTGTGGGAAAAACTAAGCCGGCCGTCTTTGCAGAGACCTCGGTGTTATCACTCGACGGCGGCCATAAAACGCCCATCCGTCTGCAGTGCAGTGTTGCCAACTTTGCGGAGTGCGCGCACGTTCCTAAAATGTGTTATGTTGTTCGCGCGCCCCTTCAGTTTAGGCAGACGTGTGTGTTGCATGCTATTGAATGCAATTCGCTTGAATAATTATTATGGAATAAATACGAAAAAGGCATTACATAGTGTCAGACGAGCTAACAGAATAATATACATAAAAAAATTAATTAACAAAAAATGATGAAAATTTCTTATTCATTGATAATCAAGTGTTTCTGATAAAAAATTAATATAATTATAAATTCGAAGATTTTATGGAGTTTTTATTTAATTTAAGAAATTAAGATTCGATATATAAAAGTCGAGTTTAATAAAATTAATCTTTCATTATGCGATGGGGAAATTTAAAATAAAAAATATTCTCTAGGCATCACTGGGCATGAAATTTTTTCTGTATATTCATTCCTCTTTTAAATTTTATGGGCACGAAAAAAAAGGAATTTTCTCACAATTATCATAATAAGTACAGTAAATTTAAGATTGAGCCCAATTATTTTAATATCAGTATAAAAATATCAGGAAATTTTAATATAAAACAGTCCTTTTATTTTTATGTTATCATATTTTGTAAAAATGAAAGTACTAACAATTATGCTTTTGCACATAGTCCTTTATTAAATGTAATTATTTATAAATGAGAATTAAAAAACCATTGATCATGAAAACAACATTGAATTACGTATGCCTTACAATTATTGTTACTACTTCTTTATTTTTACATTAAAAGCTGCATAAATGTGTGTGTTGCTTTTTTACAAATGAGATTTTTTGTTCAAATTCGATGGCCAATGCTTACAACCAACTTAATCTACCAACAATTTGTGTTGGAGTAGCAAACTACTATAATTTTTGTTTATTAGGAAGAATTAAAACTTCTGTCAATTACTTGTTCTCAATTATATCGTTGACAGAAAACTAGGCTACAAATGCGGACATATCTACATTTTACTACTAGAATCGTTTTTTACTCAAATTAAATTTTCTTTGTTACACAATGCTTAAAAAATGTCCTGGCTTTTACTGAGATGCGATTTAGTAATTTTATATATTTTGTTTACAAAATCACAGGGTGACGTGCTTGTTATTAACTTTTTCTCGTAGTGAGTTTCTTGTGAGTTTGCGAGTGTGTGTTATTTTTTCAGGTTAAAATATTGAGCACTCGGTCGAAACTTGTGTGAAATAATTATCCTTTAATTATAATAGACAACTAAAAAGGCACTTGAAAGAATCAGACAACATTTGATAATAAATTTTCGCTTGACGCAGTGAAAAAATATTCTTAAAATTTCCCCTCGACGACTGCTTATTTAATCAACTCGAGTGATTTTTCTGTTTATATGTGAAACAGTGAAAGACTTAGCAAGTCAGCGATGAGGTTTCAATTCATGTTTAAAACTTACCAATTACTGAAAGTACGTACGGGAAAAACTAATTATTTAAATGCACACGTTACACACACTGTTCAGTGATGAGTCAAAGATGTTTAAATATCGCCAAAAAAATTCCTAGGTTATATACAATTTTTGCTCAGACGGACCTCTATTTGTTTAGGAACACCACTATAAATGTAGCTTATCTCATTCACACGACTATATTTACAATATTTTATAGTGAACATCGTAATGTATTGATTGCATTTTTTGTTTGTTTCTAATTCGTCCATTTTTTAAGTACTTAAATCAAGTCATAATTCACTATAAGCTGCATGTTTTTTTGCAAAAAAAATTATAGGTTCTTTTTTTACTGGTCAATATAAATTTGAGAAGCGTACAAAGTTACTATTTTGGTTATTTTCCCATCACTTATACAGTAACCCTGTTATTTTAGGCGAGCACTACTTTAGAGGGTATAGAGATTTCGTGCATTAATTACGTTGAAAGCTTTTTTCAAGAAAGTGCTTCTCATCTCTACAGTTACAATTTGTGTGTTTTTCATTATGATGAAATTCAAATATTAATTAAAAAATTAAAATTAAATTAATTTCTAAGCAAACGATGCTACTGAATTATGATGTTCATTGTTGAAGGTTACATTTTTTCTTGTTTTTTTACCTAAGAAAGCTGGAGAAAATAGCGCTGTGTACGAATTTGTGCGTTTTGCTATAGCCCTTTTCATTCCCTTCAACTTGGATCACTGAACCGTGAGCAAAATGAAATGGAGTGGCGTCCGTATAATTTTTTTTGTTTGTTACATTTATACATATGACGTATTTTCGAGAGTTGATGCGAAAAGCGATCAATCAACTTCTTGGAAAATTCGCGCCACAATATCCCTCAGTTTTCTTACAACCAAGTGTCTGCGACGGGAATAAGAGTAAAAACCTGCAGGAAGTGGCAAGTGCTGGCGGGTTAAATTATGCTTTAAATATATATGTAATTTATTATTTGTGCAGAATATTTATTTTTATTTCAAAGCAGAATAGAATTGTTACTTAGTTGCGTTGTACAGGTGATTAATTAATTAATTTATAATGGAGGTTAATTATTAATATATTTATTGAAAATAGAGCCATATTTTGATACTGCTCTGTAAGAAACGCCTCTGAAAGCTCTTTGGTAGAGAATTCTGATGCCAATTTTTCAATCGGCTTCTTCATTTAACTATCAATAATTTCAATTGGGTATTTCATAATAAATGGGGGTAATAAGTGGTTGTTTTGAAGCTTAAAATTGCTTTAATAAAACTCTCTTGTTTAAATTATTTAGAGTCTACAGCATAAAGCAGACAAAAAATCTTTATGTGATGCAGATTTATATTTTTTATATTAAAGTTTCTCTTTCTATGGAAAGACAAATGAATGCTATGTATTCATTTAAGAGAATATGTTGCATAATGAAAGGTAGAAGGAAGGCTTTTTTTAAATTCACTGGAAATATAATTGAATAATTTTCTTATAATATTTTCCGGATTTCGTTTTTTTAATATGCTACTTAATTCATCTAAAATATCTACCAGCACTTATAATAAATTGTAAGTGTACTTAATTTCTATTTAATGGAAGCAAAGATTGGCAGACATTTGGTTATAAGGTCGATTTCTTTCTGTCGTACCTCACTTTTGATTTGATTTTTTTTCTAATCTCCTTTTGATAACCCATTCTTTTTATAAATATTATGTACACATACTTGAATTCAAGTATTTTAATTTCTCTTCCTTGCTCACACACAGGCTAATACTAAATTTAATATCAAAAGCGTCAAGCCAAATACAATTTATGGAGTTTAACATTATGCAAGTGTGCAAAATTTGCTGCGACAAATCAGCATGGTGTTCATTTACATTCCTTAGTAGCAATAATATTAATATTATCCAGCATTAAAATGAAACTTATTTCGACTTTAAAAAAATGCATTTAACGAAAATCATCCGTGGGATTTGAAGCAAAATATCACTTGTCCACATCTTTTTGCTGGAATAATTAATTAATTAAACTCACTGGTGCCCAGAATGTCCACAGGCCACTAATTTGAGTGTTTCTTCGAGTAATTAATTAAATTTCATCAGATAACGGTAGCTAGCAAATTTATACAGGTGTCTTGAAGAGCACTTAGGTTCCGGCCAGCCATCTGGCCAATCACCATCAGACCGCCGACTCCTCGACGAAGCTCACCTCTTTTCGTCCGGGGGAGGCTGGAGGCGGCGGCGCGTGGGGCGGCAGTCTCAGCAGGCCGCCCACGCTTGCGGCCATGGCGGCCACGATGGGCGACGGCGTCACTCCGATTGGGGGCTCGATCAAGAGGCCACTGGCCGCTAGCGGCTGCTGAATGGCCGGGTAGGTGAAAAACGATGGTCCACGACTCGAACTGGCTGGAATAGAATTAGTCAGTTTAATTTTTAAATAATGTAAATTTATATAATGTAATTAATTAATTTTTTTATGATTTAGTTGGTCTTTTAAAGTTACAAAAAGGGGCAGGTAATAAATAAGTTTAAAAAATGATTAAGTTCTGTAAATTGTAAGAAAAAACATTTAAATTTTAAATACAAATCAAAATTTAAATTTTTCAATAAGAATCATGTATTGAAATTTTTTTCTCAATTATTTATTTTAATATGCTATTTGATTATATTAATTATTTTGTTCAAAACTTCAGAAAATCATAGAAAATTAGAAGAAAAAAAACATATTTTTAAGTTAATATTTTCAGTATATAAATTTATTTTATAACAAATATATTGATACCTTGAGCTGAAGAGGGAGAGAATGAGAAAGAGTCTGTGTGCACAGGGGGTGGTTTGACCCAGGCGGGGGTTGGTTTTCTTCTGAACTGATTGACGAAGGGTGAAGTTTCTGGAAAGTGGTTGGCTTTGCGAACTGGGCTCGCTCGATTCTGCATCGGGAAAATCACAACGCCTGGCGCTGCTGCAACACTAGGGTGTGAATCTGCAAAAAAAAAGAAATTATTCATTTTAAATTAAAATTTCAAACTTTTTCGTACTGTCTGAGAACATGGAGTTCTTTCGTTGTTGTCTCGCTCGCCAGACCATGGAGCGGACGTGACCTCTTGACCCCGTGTGCACGGCGTCCAAACTGAGGCTGCGGGGGAGGAACATGTTCTCGGAGCTGTTGGAGGTCGGCCTCTGTTCGTGCCACGGCACGTTGACCTGCAACTCCTGCTGCTTGAGCCTGGCCGCGGCCACCATGGCCGCCTGCTGCTCGGCCATGGCGTTGGCCGCGCTCAGCAGGTGCTCGTTCATCGAGTACAACTTGTGTGTTATGTCTTTGCCTGAATTGTTCAAAATTAAAGCCATGTAAAAAATTTTCATTAAAAAAAAAAAAAATGGGATTTATTTACCTATGAGATTTATCATCAAAACCTCTAACAAGGGCCGCAGTCTAAAAACGTTCTCCAACTTTGGTTTTGACCAACACAAACAAGTGCTTTCCTCTTCAGCAGTAATGGTTACCTATTTAAAGAAAAAATATTTATAATATACAAATTAGAATAGTTAGCAATTCTGTTGAACATTAATAAGAAACTATGAACAGGACAAGATCATGAAAAAATAATCTTTTAATTCACTACCATAACGATTATTGTCAATCTGTTTTATTATAATATTATATTATTTTGTGTAAAAAAAATTGTATTAAAAAATAACAATTAATTTATTATTATTTTTTACCTAAATGTTAAAAAACCAAGAAAACTAGCTAAATTTAAAAAATCATTTTTTTTATCAAGTTATGCTTTGTTGTTGTTGTTATTTTCCTTATTTGTAATTGCATTTTTTTTTAAATTTTTGTTTTATTTTAATGACATTTAATTTTACCTGGAACACATGATTCGGGCCGACTCTCGAAGCCTCCCATTCTGGTGAGTCTACAAACTGTTGTGGGTTGATGAAGTGTAGGTACGTTTGATCACATGACACTCGCAGCCTGACAAATCACATTAACAAACATTAAATTTAATGGTGGGTGGTGCGATTGTTATCATGCAACACTTACTTGCCCCTTAAGAGCACTGAAAGACGGTCGTTGGCAGGCGTGATGTCCTCGATGGCGTAAGTGTCCCCTGGATCAAGAGTCAGCAGTCTGCCTTCTCTCGTCATTTCCTAAGAAATTGAATATTTTAAAGTTATTTTGTAAAAAAAAGGTATTTGTCAAATGAAAAAGGAATATGCAATTTACAAACCAAGTAAATCTGAACAGTATTTAATATTATTTTTTCCTCTTCTTATTCTAGAACAAGTCACTTTAGCATTATTGAACTTATTTTAAAAAAAGTATGAATCTTAAATCGATTAAATAACTTTAATACGTCTCATGGATAAGCATCTCATTTATATGATTTGATCTTTGAAACAAAATCTAAAAAACCGACCAAAAATTAAAATTTGATTTTAACAGCCTATTTTAAATCAATTTAATGTGTATATTGACCATATCCAATTGAAATTTTAAAACTTTTTTTGTAATTCGAAATTCAAAATTGATAATTTAACTGATTCTTGTTTATATGTTTATATGTTATGGATTGCGTATTTTTAAAAAGTTTTTAGTTTGTACCGATTTACCTGAAAAAGGTGCTTCTCCACTTTGTGTGGCCCGAATTGGCGCTCGTAAAGTTCCAACAGATCTGGCGAAAGACGCGGCGGCAGAACCTGGACAGCGAGTCGGAGCGCGTGGGCCGCGTTGACGATGCTCAAAAACGCACTCCACGCCACCATGTCCGCGGCACAAAGGGTCAGAGCGGCCCAGAAGGCGCTCACACAGAAGCCGACCGCCAGTGACGTTCGAAGGACAAGAATGCTTTGTCTGAAAGAATTGGACCAAAATCAAAGATGGCCAAAAAGATGATATAAAATAAAAGAATTTCCAGTCATTAATTTTATGCTGCACTTATTGGATTTCAAATTTCATCAATTGAGCCGTATGATTCTGTAGGTTGCGCAAATTTAATATATGTGTCACTTCTGGCCGACGCGTAAAATGAATATTTCATATCTACGCGGTCATAAATTGTATGGCCCCAGCTTAATTTTCATTCTACGCAATAAAATAAGACATTCTGCTGCGTCGAGACGAAACTGACATTTTCCCATCGTTGAATCACATGAAGAAATGGAGTACACATGACGACGGTAATGTTCTCGGACAAAAACGGCCATAAATAAAAATTACTCTGAATAAATTTACGTACTAAGAACCTCGCCCAACTTCTTTATTTTTACGCCATTTGGCCGTTGGCCACGTTTCTCGCTCCTAAAATACATATTTTATGACAAAAGTATCAAGACAGTATCAATTATTTGAAATATTTCTGCAAAAAAATTGGATGTAAATTTCCTAAATTTTGAATATTTATTTGCAAAATAAAATAATAATAAGCCTGGATCACATAATTCGCCCTTCTTTTACCTACAAAATAATTTCAAAAGTCAAATATTTAATAAAAAAATCCTACTTTGAGTTTGGTGAGATGAGAAGAAAATTATTGACTTCAGAGAAAAATGTAAATATCTCTCGTCAAAGCTACGTACGTCATCCAAAATTGAGGGCGAGATACCCGAGAGACCAATTCAAGTCTCTTTGTGGAAAAATTGCTACTGAGAAAGTCTGGCAGATGATTTGCAATAACGACATCATCATTAGGCCTTTCAATATCCCGTGGTTCTGTTTTCAGCGCTGCTCGATCTCGGATTCAAACGAGCGCCGCCCTTGCCAGGCAACTAGCAACTCGATCAATCACACGCGAAAATGCCAAGAGAGCAGAGAAGCTCATACAACTTGCATGAAGTGACTTGACTGACTTGAGAGGAATCGCATCAAACGATCCGAAGCCAAAAATAAACCCATTCAACGGAGTCGAGAGCACTTTGTGTGTGCATTTGACGGTTGCTCAAATAAAAAATCTCTTTTGTTGAGACGAAAAAAATTGTTTTCTGTGGTAAAACTTCAGTTTCAATTGTAATGTTGTACTCATTATTTGAAAAAAGAAACAAAAATCTTCAGTGACCATAAACTCGTCTAATTCTAAAGTAAAATTTTGTTTCAAATATAAATTTTTCTGGCTTTGATAAAACTATTACAATAAAATTAAAAAAAAAACTTGCAACCTTGAAGAAAACTGTATATCCTGCCTTATTTAAAATATATAATTGGAATTTATGTAAAAGTTTTAGATTGTCAGTTTACCGATATTATGCAACTTTTTTTAAAATTACTGTGTAATTTTTTTATTTACGACGGATTATTATTTCAAGATAAGCACTAAATTGTAGACATCAAATGTTTTAAAATGCTAATGGCAGTCACAAATAAATTAAACGCGATTGCGTGACACGTCAGAAAGTGACGCACTGCCCGTTTAATGGAAAACATTTTACACCCGAACAATTTCATTTTATTGAAAGAGCAAATAATTTAAACGGGTTATGCAGACCCGCCGGACATTCGCGTTCGGCCGGTGGCCTGCCTCGCAATCAGCGACTTCATTGTCCGCGCCACTCTCCGCTCTCATTAGCATAAATCCGCGGCAATTAAAGCGGCATTGATTTTCTGGCTGGCGCGAGCGGTCCGGCGCCGAACGCTGAGAGCAGGTCTGTGCAAGAGTGATTCTGCACCACTCGTCTCCTCTTTTAAAGCAGATGGGAAACAAGGAAAACAAGTTGGCTATTGATTCCAACTGCACGCTCTCTTGGAAAACAACAATGTTTTTTTGTTTTTCTCGTTTTTACCCCACTGCGAACTAGGTTATATGGGAAAAGTTTGTTTCCAGTCCAGCTTAACAAACAAACAGTGAAAAAAAATAAACTGAAGATATAGGAAAAATTTGTAATAATAATATTTTTCTATAGAAAGAGGAGATAATTATGAACTAAAAATATTTTATGTGGAAATAATGAAGTTATGAAAAATAAAACTAATAGCAAAGAAATCTCATCACATATTTCGCGAAAAAACAACTTATTTTAGCCCATCAGCAATTAAAATTGCCTAGATTTTCTTCACATCATCCACTGGGGAAAGACAACTCCTCTAAAATAAATAATTTTATTTTCATGCTTTTCTGGGCATGAGAAATTCAAAGTTAAAAATGATTTTTATTTTACTATCACCTAATCTTCAGCTATGTCAAAAAGTTATAATCTATTTTGAGGGCTTTATTATAACTTAATTAATAATTTTTTTTATTTCATTATTTCGCCTATTATCACCGATTTAAAAAATAAAATAGCCTGTTTAAAGATTTTCACATACAAAACAGTCTAGAATACAAAATTTCGGTATAAAATTTGACTTAAATTGAAAAATAAAGTACAATACTTTGCCAAAAACATAACCATCAAAATGTCATATTTTTTATATAATCATCAGTAAAAAAAACAAAAACAGAATCTTTGAATTATGTTCGGCTTGTTTAAAACATTTCACTTATTACATAAATAATGCTTCTGAAAAGATTTAATTTTATTAAATTTTTTACAAATATGAAATCGGTTGCAAAATGAAATTCTTATCCCCCTTAAAAATTAATTAAATCGAAAAGGCAAACGTTTTTTTACTCCAATATATCATCCTTAAGTTTATTTGGCTCCGAGTTAGAGCAAAAGCGGCAGGACAATTAGACCGCAAGGCCCGGGGCACATCAAAGTAGTGAACGATGCCAGTTGGGGCGGCAGCTAAAAGGGCGAGAAAGAAGTTTTGCTGCCGAGGATGCACTTTGCCCCGAGTTATGTTATTATAAGTTATGAGAGAAGGAAAGAAAAAAAAGCCCGGCTAGATGTGTATTATTTGTTGCTCACTTGAAAGATCTTGGAACGAGAAAGGCCACGGCGAAGAACAAATTGGCTGCTTGGAAGAGATTGTGCTGCGCTGGTTCCCAATCGGAGCACAGTTTGAGGGCCGTCGAGTTGCCAGCGGCGGTCAACGCGGGGCCGACGCTGCCAACCAAGCCCCCGCTCGTGTTCAACAGCAGCAGGAACAGGGCTTCGTCGCCTGCGGTCCATGGAAAGTCTGCAGACACATAATTACAGAAAAAATTTTAATTGAGCTCAACATTCCAATACGTTGGGGCAGTTTTAATTGTAAATTTAAAACTTTAACCATTAAAACATTATTTTTATAATAAAATAATAATTTTAATTACTTTTCTTATTTATGTTGCATATGTACATTTAATTTTTATAATTTTTTTTTTTTTATAATTGATAATATAATATTTTTATAAATTTTCTTTAACAAAAAATATTACAATAATAAAAAAAAATGCATTAATCACTTAGGCATCATTTTTAAAATTTATTTTTAACTCTAACAAAATTTTACAAGTGTATTTAAATAGAAATTTTAATGTCATTGAGGAAACTGTGATCAAAAATTTAATTAAATAAAGTCATACATTACAAATAAAAATTATAAGTTGAATGAAAAATAAAACTTGGGAAGCTTCATCCTGCCTTTGGGTGCTAGCAAGGGTTCAACTATAGCATGAGAAACCACTAAAGGAGTTTTTTGTTTTAAATGAAGCTTTAAATTAGAAAAAATGAACCGTTTTTAGATTTACTTATTGTTAGTAAACAGCGGGTTTTTATAGGAGGCTAATGCAATTATCTTAAAATATTTATATCTAATAAATATTAAGAATACTGAAAATACCAAACAAAATTCAAAATTTCAATTTATAATTGATAAAAAATTGTGATCCCATAAAAGAGTGATTTCCAATAATGTCAACAAATTATTTGCAAACGGATTGTTCAAATTCCCATTCAAAACAAATCGCCCGCGACTATTCCACCTAAAATGCTCACCAAATTAAATTAAAATTTCCATTCAAAAACGACAAATGTATTTGACATCTTATTATTTTGAACAAAAATATGAATTAATTGTTCCATTAAAATAAAAAAAATGTGTATTTACCTGTCACAGGTGGTTCGGTGGTTGTCGAAGCGACCGATGCGGCCGTCACGGTGCGCGTCTGGGCCGCGAGGATGAGCGGCGAAGTGGCCGCCGCCGGGCTGGACACGGTGGGGCCGAACGGCGCCGAAGAGCCGGAGGGGTCGGCGAGGGTCGACTCCAGGGCGGTGGCACTCGGGGCAGCCGTCGGGGGGTGCGGCGTCGACGCCGGCTCTTGCATTTCAACGCCACCGACGTGCTCCGCAAGGGCCTTCGAGCCCATGTGCCGCCGCTGCCAAGAAAAACATAAAACCGAGGCGTTAGTTAACCCGTTGAGAGTAGCAAAGGGTGAAAATGAGCTCGGATAAGATCGCGAGCGGGGGTGCGATTTATCGCTAATCTATGCGCCCCTCGACGCGAATATATTCGGTTCTTGATTGGTTGCCGTGCGAATGCCAGGAATTTACATTAATTTTATTAATAGATCACATTAAGTCCAGTGGAATTTTTTTAAGAGAAATAGTAGTGTATTTTCTTACATAATCATAATTAGTTACGAAACATTTATCAGATAATAAATTAATTAACGAATTATCATTTTTTTCTTAAAATACAGAACTGGGGTAAAAATAAGTAAAAACAAAAAAACTGATAAACTCTCACAATCAGATTAAAGAACTTTGTAAACCGTACCAGTTAAAATTAGCTATAATATACACTTTTATGTTTAATTATCTAATTTATAGAATAACCTGATATATCAAAACTTTCTTACAGCTATTTATTTGACAAAATTGAAATAAAAAATGAATAGAAATGTTTCTTTGTTCAAATATGATGTTCTCCAAAATAATCCTGTTGGGGCTGTTAGCAAAAATAAAATTTTCTTGCCTTAAATAAGAAAGCTAATTTCGTCAGGAAAAAGTTTATTTTCTGTATTATCTAATTGCAAGAAAACCCAGCCAAATTTAAACAGTATTATAATTTTATTTATGATTGATTTCATTCTTGCCATTCAATGTGACTGAATTTTTTATTTTGCTAACATAAAAAACAATTCTAATTGAGTAAATCAAATTCATTCCTCATATAAAAGTAACAGGGCAAACTTAATACTGAAAACGAAATCTGGAAAAAATTATCTTTAATTACTTTTTTTTTAATATTACAAAAAGGAAATTTGTTTACAACTTTGTAATTTTGAAAGATACTTAGACATCATTTATAATTTTATCAGTAATTCACACTCGAGTTTTATAACATGTAAATATTTTGCTCTGAATCTCTAAATTCAGATTTTTTTTTATATAAAATCGTTTTTAAACCTTTTTCTTTTCACTGAGCAAAAAAGGAGGCCGTTTTTATTCTCTGTTATTTTTCTCATCATCCAAAACGACAGTTTTGGCCCAGAAACGGGGAGTGAAGAGATCATCTAAATGCAAAAGCGTGTCTGCTCACGGAGGGCGGATTTCTCTATGAAATCTGGGCCGCGTGCATTGCGAATAAAGCGCGGCAACCCACTTCATTATCGCTCGCTCGCAGAGGGTTGTTTGTTTGCTCGACGGCCTTTGATGCTCGCCACGCTCCGAAGAAAAAATGACGATGTATGTATTTTGCAGTGGCGACGACACACCCTGTGCTCTCTCCGCGTGTGACGTCACGTGGACCCCACCCTGCCGGCGGAAAAAGATAGGGCGCGACGCCTGCGATGGAAAGAAAGAAAGCAAGCGGCTCGTACACGTGAAAATAATAAATACCTTTATCAGAGCGAGCGAGCGAGGCGTGCGTTCCGAATCCGTTCTCTGTTTTCGGGGTTGTTTCGCACGTCACGACCCAGCAACCCCCGCGGAAACGCACGCCAGCAAAACGAAAGAAAGAAAGAAAGTGGCGCGGCAGTGACAAATAGCGGCCTTGTTTGTGTCAAAATTATGCTTTCCAGGCCACGCATGAACCACCCACTTGCCTCGACAGCACTTTTTCATAGTGACTCGAAATAAATTATTCGATTTGGGCTTTATGGAAACCACTAAAATTTTTATTTGAGGAATTTGTTTGTGTATTTTTAATTTTTTAAATTTCGTTGGCATTATAATATTCGGAAACATATTAATTAAAGATCTCATGTTCAAACGTCAGTCATAAGAATTTTTATATAAAAACTGTATACCTCTCAATTTTTTTTTTTTTTTTTTTTTTTATTAATTCCTCCCACTTAGTTTTAGTTGGACACAAGAAACCCTAGGTTTTAAAGTACCAGCAGACCGCAGGTCGCCTTTGGGGTCAGTTGTCCTTTATATTTTTTCATTTTTTCTTTTCAACGAGGTTCGCCCGGTTTCAATCTTTCATGACATGAAAGAAAGAGGTATACATTGTATACCTCTCATTTGAATTCCGCTACTGAAAAATTACTTGAAACTTCATACTCTGCATGAAAAATTTACTATAGAAAATAATTGCGCGTACCAATGATCTTGCAGCACAACAGTGAAACATAATTGTTGCGGATTGTTGTTGAGCTATAAGAAGAGTTGTACACAATCAGAACTGATAAAACTCTTTACAACAATCTGAATTTGATATGATATTGATAATATTATGCTTGGCCCTTTTTTAAATTCAGTAATAGCAGAGTACAACAATCTGAGCAAACGGATTAGATTTTTCAGGAATCAACGCAACAATGGTGCAGCCCTGATATAAAATTTTAAATCTTTAAAAATACGTGGAGTTTCAAGAATTCGATGAAAATTCTTCTGTTTTCATGTAAAGACTTCTTATTGACATAGTCGAATCAAGTCCTTACAAATATATATACAGAGTTTTGGATTGTTGAAAGACAATTGGAAATTTTAACCACTATTGTTGTAAAGACTTGATTTGACTATGTCAATAAGAAGTCCTTTAAAAAATCTCCCTGCGAAATCTTCATATTTTTCGTTTTCAGTGCACACGTGAATCTTAAATTTGATCTTGCTTTAAATAGTGCGATTTTTAAATGAAACATTATAAAAAAAAATCGTTGAATGCATTATTTGTTCTTTCTTGGGGAAATAATTTTCTCTAACCGATTTTTTTTTTAAATTTAAATATAAAAGATTCTTTATCACTTTTATGAGAATTCTTTAAATTTGTCGATTTTATTACCATTACCGCTGAGATTATCTATTAAAGAATTAAGTGATGTATTAACTTGCAAACAAAATACAGTTTAGCGTTGAAAATTAGCGGTTTATTGTCTTCAAGTCATCTAGCACTCCATCTTCTCCGAACTAGGGCTCGCTTTTTTTCCCTTCTTGTCGTTCTTCCTGTTTTTCTTGAGGATCTTCCTGACTCTGATTTTTCGTCTTGTTTTCCTGGTCCTAAGTTTCTTCCTTATGCGCAAAGCCTCCGACTGGAAGAAATCAGGTCTTTTGACCGGACGCCTTCGGAGGTCCATTTTTAACTTGCTGCCTCCGGAAGGACACGGAGGGTACACAAGAGGACCTGGGCAGGAACGACGTCCAAGACGCTCCACTTCGACGGGCCTGCATTCCTGGACGACTTCAGCGTCGGCAACAGATTGCGCGAGACCCATGGCAGTCAATCACTGAGATTTTCGTTTCTCGTCGGATTTTTAAACAAGAATGAGCGCTTGTGTAAAAAGCGTTTCACCTTTTGTAGGACAAGTATTTTCATTTTTCGAGATTAGCCATTGTTGAATTTTTTTAGTATTGTTGTAACGATTTAATTCCATTTCGACTCTTTTTTTCTAATTCCTTCTCTGCTTCAAGGAAGTTACCTGGATTTATTTGAAACCATTAATTAATATTTTCAAATTATCAAGGCTAACAAGGAATTTTAAATCCAAATAATTAAAATTTGATGTTTTTTTAACCGTTTGAAGTTATATTAAAATATTATTTTTCATGAACTCAGTTTAAAGGACTTTCATTGCAAAATTAATAAAAAAAAAGAAAAAAAAATTCTAGTTTTAAGGGAGAGTTTTGCAGAATAAAGTAATTTCTGTGGGCCAATTAGTGCCCACACCCGCATTCACCTTGGGTCTCCGTTCTTTTCTTACATGCCTGGCTTTTCAATTTGCTTCTTTTTTTTTGGCTTGACACAGTGACCCTGCGGCCTATTGATTCAGTTTTTGTGCAACGCCGGACGAAGGTTTCGCCGGCACGAATTCTCCAGGGGCGGCTTATTTCACTTGGTAATGGGCCATGGGCGGATGCGAAGACCTTTTGTTTTTGTGCCGGGGCTCACTTTCGGCGCGAGATAATCAAAAGAGAATAATAATTATCGCGCCTCCTTCGTGCACTTTTCGTCTGCAAGGCGTGCCTCGTATTGATTCGTCCGTAGAAACAACATTGGAATAAATTACACGGAGAGACTAGGTTAAACCCTTTATTTGTAGGACGGTCGTTAATCATCTTGGTCTGACTATGAGTTGCACTGAATTTCTTTGCTATAAAAAAAATTTAAATTTTGTTGGCTTTCAAGAAATGGAGTGGACACGGAGACAAAAATAATCCTAAAAATTTAAATTCAAGGAAATTATTTGTTTTTCTTTTTATTACAAATAAGTTATCAGGTCAAATAATACTCAAAATAAAAGAGAGAGCGTCAAAAGTTCAATAGCTGATGGAACTGTCGGGCTGCTACCGGTTTTATATAGACTGGCAATTTTATTGCTATTGTGATTGCACTGGGCGCGGAGTAAACATGCAAATGAAATTCATTGCCAGACGCCCGTATGTAATGGCCGGAAAATTAGAATGCATTGGCAGCTGTGCAGCAATTAACTCTTTTCCGTTTGCGTGCACGAAATATTCTTCACATGCATGGCGAGATTAAATTATTTTATTGCTCGATTTGGCATTATTATGTCTCTATTAAAACTAAAGGTTTCAAAGCCAGAAAAATAATGGGTGAAAGCAATTATCAGCAATAATTTTCTTTTTTTTATTGCACTCATGAAAATTTTACCCTTTTTTTTGCGGAATTAAGTATTGCCCTTGAAATTTATAATAGTTTGTTTATTTTTTTCGTCAAAGTGGACGTGCAGTGGCTCAATTAAAGCCTGTGTGTGCGTCAGAGGGCGGCGGCTGTCGCGTGTCTGAGCCCCGTAAAATGCGATTTTCCGTCGAATGCACCCTTCGTGTACTAGAATGTGTGCAATGAGATGGGGCGTGTACGCTTGGCCGTGATTGCGACGGTCAGTGTATGAGCTGCGGAGAACGGGTGGATATTTATATTATGAATTATGCATCGCAGCAACATGTTGTAATTGGCTTAATTGGCTCTTGA